TCCAGACCTCACCTTGGAGTGCGACCTAGAGGGGCCATGGGCCCATCCTCATCTTGGCATTCGCGGCAGCTTAGCAGGGGCATTCAGGGAACGGCAGATGCAGGTCCTCACGCAGCCAGTATCGCTTCCCCTGGACGTGCAAGGGCCTACGCTGGCCTGGGAGGTATTCTTGGAGAAAGCTCGTGCCCGACTTCCAAGCCGGCCCAGACAAAGTATTTCACTGCCGAACCTTGTACAGATCCTGCTCTTTCTGACAGGCATGCTCTCTTTTCAGGTGCAGCTGAGGAGCTGCACAAGTCCAAGCCTGTTGGCGTGCGCGACATCGCGCACCATCGCGGCTGTCCTCCAGGCCCGATGATGAGACCTGCCATGCCACCAGCCAAACTAAGCGGTCAACATGGGGGCACGCATAAGTTAGCCTTCTGGAAATGTATGGTTGCGCGGCTTCAGGACTTTCATGGACTCCGTATCGGGGAGGAGAGCCCAGGAAAGACAGCAGAACGCCAACAAGTTGGGAAGCTCATCCAGGCCAAACTCGGAAGTATCCAGGAGCATCTTGTCCCAAGGGTTTTCAGGAATACCTCATCCAGAACACCTCAGACATTCAGGACATCCAGATGCAGGCCCAGCAGATACCCCAACTATCCCAGGACGGCATTAAAGACCAGGCCAAGAAGTGTAAAGCTATCCGAGACTGTGCTGATCGCGAAGCCTATCGGGATAAACAAGCTGGGTTTCAGGAGTGGCTCTCCCGGAGCCTCCGAGGGGGGGCCAAGTGGGCCCATCGACATGCCGCCACTTGGGGCCGCCCTGAGGCCATGCCCGCCCAAGAGCTGGACACGGAAGGGGACCCGCTATGGGGCCCCTCGGAGGCTCTGGAGACTAAGAAGACTCGGTGGCAGACACTCTGGAAAGATCCTGGAGGCCAAGGGCGCCCCTCTACCCGAAGCTGGCGGCAAGCGTTCCGGCAGGAAGCGCAGGCTCAGGTACCTGAGCTGTCTGAACTTCGAGCCCCGCAGGTCTTGGCAGCGTGCCGGGCGTTCCCAAGTTCTATGGGCATGGGGGCCGACCAGTGGAACCCCAAGCTCTGGGCCACTCTACCTGAGGAGGCGCACGATGAATTCGTCTGTCTCTTGCAGGACATCGAGTGCACGTGCGCGTGGCCAGAGCAGATCCTGTTGAATGAAGTTGGCATGCGTCCCAAACCCACAGGGGAAGGGGACAGACCCATCACTCGGACCCAAGGGTTGTACCGCGCCTGGTCCCGACTCAGGAAAGAAGCTGTTGCCACCTGGGAGAAACAGAAAGCGGGATTCTGGCATGCAGCCGCGCGAGGTTCTGACCCTTTGAAGGCGGCCCTTCCCAGGCGCGACAAGGCCGAAGCTGCGAGCTGGATCTCGGTCGACTGGGCCGCCCTGCTCCTAGATGCGGTTTTTTTTTCTCGACGCGCTCAGCCCTTTCTGGATATATGCCATCGGCAAAGCACTCGAATACCCACTACACACCATGTACATGGGCATGCGCGTGCACACCGCCGATAGGGTCCTCATCTTAGGGCGCGAGGCCTCAGATTTTATCTCGGTCGAACGGTCCATCCTCCAGGGGTGCATGCAGAGTGTGAGCTGGGCGCGTGCATACGTACATGACATGCTCGACGCGGCGCATGCACTGTGCAGGCCCATGGAGATCAGCACCTGGGTCGACGATATTGCCTTGTCCTCCAGGGGTCCCAAGGCCATCGTGCATCGACTCACCACCCAGGGCGCCATCGACTCGGCTCGCCACATGAAAGCCCGAGGTCTCCGTCTCTCCGGGGAGTCCCAGCTCCTCGGTAGCAACAAGGCCCTGGTCCAAGGGATCCACAAGGCCCTCCAGAAGGCAGATATTCACATCCAGCTGACCACCAAGACGAGAGACCTCGGACTTGATTTTGCTTCAGGACGGCGATCTACGAAGGTTGCCAAAGGTAGATTGAAGAAGGCCTTCGCCAGGGCCGGGCGGGCCAAGAAGCTCCTGAAAGCCAACGGCCGAGCCAGCGAGCTCAACCTCACGGGAGTTAAGCCACAAACCTCCTGGGGAATGATGGCCCAAGGGGCCTCGCCTACGGCGCTGAAGCAGCTTCGGTCCAGGATGGCTGCACTCACGGGGAAACAGAGAGCTGGTGGCTGTGCGACAGTAGCTATCCGACTTGGCCCTGGAAAGAAGGCGACCCTTTGTTCTTTGCGCGGCGCGAAATGGCCAGGCCATGGCTGCACATCCTCCCTGCTCTCGTGCGCGAGCGGATTGCGTTCCAAGCCGCCTGGGCCAAGTGCGTCGAGGTCATGCGTGCTGCAGTACACCCGTGGGGCAAGGTCCGAGGTCCCATAGGTGCTCTGGTGGCCGCATTACTTCAGAGTGGATGGGATCCCCAGCTCCCCTGACAGTGGAAGGACCCCACATGGAGATACCTACTACTTGGTACCCGGCGAGGCCCCACCTGATAGAGCCCAATTCTACTTGGAGGCGGTCTCGGGATCCAAACCAGGGTGGCAGCAGTGTGTACTAGCCGAGGTTGAGGGCACTTTCGAGCAGCAGATTTGGCGAGAATTTGCAGCCCAGCACTTTTGTGGGAAGGGCCTCGAACATGGGGCAGATCTCGCAGTTGTCATGAAGCTCATCCGTGCCCATCGGCGTGCGCAGCGTCATGGGCACGCTGCACTGCTCGAGCGTATCGCTACAGGCGCGCTGTGGCCAGGGGGTCGTCGGCACCCAGCCGAGCCCGATCAACAAAAATGCCCTCGGTGCGCTGCAGCACGCCACTATCCGCTCCCTGTCGAAGATAGCCTACACCAGCAGTGGATATGCCCATGTCCAGCGCCCACGGACCATGCGGCTTTCGACCTCTTACCCCAGGTCCGAGGCGAGCACGAGGAGTGGCCCTGTTTCTGGCATCGCGGGATAGTTCCGATTCTCTGGATTTACCCGCACATCGACCAGTTCCCCGAATGGAGATTTGAATGTTCAGGAGGTGTTGCCCAGGACCAGCGGATGGAGCTCCCCCCAGATGCCCATGTGGGTATTGGCGGCAGTGGAGGCGACTACACCAGTGACGTGAGGCTTCGTAGATGTGGCTGGGGTTTTGCTGTCTGGGCCCAGGGTACCATCCTCGGGGAAGCCTGGGACCCGCTCCTCGGAAGGCACCAGACGGTGCCCCTCGCGGAACTCGAAGGCCTCACACAGGCCCTGAAGCACACAGCTGGCCCAGCCACGTTCGTTGTAGACTGTGCCTACCTTTTGAAAGCCATCCGCCAGGGCCCCAGCCAGGTGCAGCCTATGCATGCGGCCGCCTGGGCCCGCTTTTGGCATGAGTTTTACTCCGGGCCTGGAGGGGCCCAGTTTCAGAAGATTAAGAGTCACCTCGCGGAGGCTGGCATAGACAGGCACGTTTCAGAAGCTGAATTCAGGTGTAATGAGGCGGCTGATGAGGCGGCAAAGAAAGGAGCTGCGCTCGCCCAGTTGCCCCCCTGCCTCACTCGCCGAGGTTGCTCGAATCGATTCCCTGGCCAAGAAGGTCCTGGAACATTTGCTCGAGGTAGGAATGGCCGAGGTCCTGGCCAGGCAGGCGGACGCCAAGGCCCCAGGAGCCCCGACCCCAGCAGATCTGGTCGCAGCCCGCAGGGCGCGACGAGGTGAACGAATTGCAGCTCGAATGGACGCCCGCCAAGCTACCGCCCACCAGGTGGTTCCAAGGCGAGGCTCCTTTTTTCTGCACTGTATGCCTGACGGCACCGACCCGCCAGCTTCCCGCCAACGAGTGGCTAGCTGCCCCGTGTCGGGGCCTTCCCCATCAGATTCACAGCTCGCACAGAATTCGGTGCCTGCGCGGGCTGTGGTGGTGTGAGGTGTGTGGTGGTTCGGGGCACACCCGTTTCAACATTCTGGGGAAGGCATGCCAGCGCCCGACGGGAGCTGGCAAGAAAGCTTTGGATAAGCTCGCCAGAGGACTGCTCCCGCCCAATCGGGATGCCTGGCCAGACGAGTCTAGGCCCAGTCCAGGGTGAGCCTTTCCTGCCCTTTTCCCTTCTTAAGGGCCCTGGCATCGGTACCAGACCCAGGCCCTCGTGCAGTCGTTTCCCAGGACGAGGAGGAGGAGGGGGAGGTGGAGGAGGAGGAGGAGGAGGAGGATGATGATGATGAGGAGGAGGAGGAGGAGGAGGAGGAGGAGTAGGAGGAGGGGGGGAGGGGGAGAAGGATGAGGAGGAAGAGGAAGAGGAGGAGGAATGAGGATGAGGAGGAGGAGGACGAGGAGAGGAGGAGGAGGGAGGAGGAGGAGAGGAGGGGAAGGAGGAGGAGGAGGAAGGAGGAGGAGGGGAGGGGAGGAGGAGGAGGAGGGGGAGGATCGAGGAGGAGGAGGTGGAGGAGTTGGGGGAGGATCAAGGATGATGATGAATTTAAGGAGGGGTGAAAAGGGTAGGAGGGAGGCGGACTGAGGCTGCGGATGAGGAGAGGCGGATCTGGTTGAGGAGAAGGCAGAGGCGGAGGCAAAGACGGAGGCGAAGGAGGAGGAAAAGGAGGATGATGATGATGATGAGGAGGAAAATAATGAGGATGGGGAGGTTGCGGAGGAGGCAAATGAGGAAATATGAGGGGGGAGAAAGCAGAGGGGGCGGGCGGACGTTGACGTCGACGAGGAGAGGGAGGAGGATGAGGAGGAGGGTGTGGCAGGTGTGGTGGGAGCTCTTGCAGTGCTGTAAGCCACAGCGGCACTTTGAGAAGGAGGAGGAGCAGGAGGAGGAGGAGGAGGAGGAGGAGGAGGTGGTGGGAATTGCTTGCGCCATTAGTGCGCCCAGCACGGTCGGCGTACGTACGGCTTCAGTGCGAAGCGTGTCCCTAGATGGTTCAGGTGGAGTAAGTAATGGGGAGGATGAGGTGGAGCAAATAGTGGTGAGGAGAAGGCGGAGGAACAGGAGGAGGAGGAGGTGGAGGAGGAGGAGGAGGTGCCGTTGGGGCGCCCTCGGGAGGTCTACGTTCCCGGAGTTTCCTTCGCTCGATGGCAGCAAGCCGATATCCTTCAAGGCGGGCGGCCCGCCGCGCGGTTGCGGCCACTTTTAGCAGGGATCCTGTTGCTGCCGTCCTTCGGCTGTGCCGCTGGGTTTGCGAATGCTCCTTCCACGGTGGGCGCCACGCCCATCCTCCTTCTCCTCTCCTCCCCCCTTTTCCTTCTCTCCTCCTCCTCCTCCTCCTCCTCCTCCTCCTCCTCCTCCTCCTCCTCCTACTCCTTCTCCTACTGCTTCTCCTCTTTCCCCTCACCTACTCCTCCTCCTCCTTATCCTCCTCCCTCCTTCTCCTTCCTCCTCCTCCTCCTCCTCCTTCTCCAGGTGCCGCTGTGGCTTACAGCACAGCAGGAACTCCCACCACACCTGCCACACCGTACAACCCATTGGTAAAAAAGGTCAATCGCATGCGGGGTGGTAGGCCTAGTTTGGCACGGTGCACGTACTCTCACTTACCTCCGCCCGCAGAGTTTCTGGCTGATGGTTCTCAGACTCGTTGCTCACAAAGTCGAGTGGGCAGATTTCGCACGCTTGGAAGAGATCTCGCCACTTACTCCTACTGTAGAGGTGCTCATGTTGAATGGCACAGGGCGCACTGCCATGAGAGACGAGGACGTGCTGCCAGCCCTCCCAACCATACGTGTGTGCAGTCTGGCTTTAGGCTCTAGGGGTTCACGATGTGCCAACAGACCATGCGGAAGGGGGCGTGTGTTCAATGCCGCGTTGAACACAATCCGTAACCATTTTGGCTCAAGCAATTTTGTCTCAAGACATTGTGGCAAGTCTTCAGGCATTTGGAACACTTGGTTTGTGCCTATTGCCGCCAAACCCTTGTTACTCCGCCGTTGCCGCAATGAACGTCGTGGTGCTTGCAGGAAAGTTCGCCATCCTGCTCGTCGGCCACGGCTGCGTCGCCGCCGACGACCTAGCCAAGACTTTGGAGGAGCGCCGCCTGATGGAGGACGACTCGCACAACTGCAACGCCACGAGCGAGGCCGACGGCGTGGGGCTGCTCCAGTCGCGGACGTGGGGCAAAGACAAAATTACTTGCGATGATTGCACTGAGCCAAACACCTACTGCTGCTGCGTAGATGACTGCGATGGGCCAGGGGTTTGGGCAAGTTGCTGCGTTGATGGCGGCTTGATTGCTCCAGGATATCCTTGCCTATTTGGTATGATCAACAAATGCACAAGGGGGTACTGCTGTTATCACAAGGAGTGTGTGTGGCGTGCTAGCTCCCTGCCCCGATCGTTTCAAAGTCCTGCCCGTTCGCGCGATAACCTGCGCGTTTGCGTTTTGTTCCCCCCCCCTCACCTCCTTGCGCGAGCCTCCTTCCTGCCTGCCCTCCTCCTCCTCCTTCCGCATGAAGACCTGGTCAGCTCCCCGCCAGGCGTTTTTCCGCAATCGGGGAAGCATGCGAGACCTTCTGAGAGTTATCGGTTAAACTCTCACCAGTTTCGAAGACCTGGTCAGCTCCCCGCCAGGCGTTTTTCCGCAATCGGGGAAGCATGTTTGAAACTGGACTGGACTGGAAAAAAAAGGTTCCAAGAGAAACCCAACGCGGCCCCGAGAGGCAATCGCCGCCCCAATCCCGCAGGAAAGCACATGTGTGTATATATATATACATATATATATATATATATATATATATATATATGTATATCCCTGGGGGTGAGGCCAGGGGCCTAAGGACAGGTGCCCCGACCCCCCATGGCGGGACCGGGGCTCATTTTCCTTGTGTTTTTAAAAAGGTTTCCGCGTCCTGGGCCTCGGAGGCCGCTGCCTCCGACCTCCCATGGGAGGACGGGGCGGCCGGGGAGGTCCAAAATAGTCCAGGAGGGCCTCCAGAGGCTCCCAAGACGGCCCAAGCGGGCCCCGAGTCCCCGAAAGACCGCTCCAGGACGCCCAAGATAGGCCCAAGACGGCCTGAGAGGCCCCCCAAAGCACTCCACGACGATTCAAGACGCCTCTCCAGAGCGCTTCAAGAGGCCGAAATCGTCAATTTTACGAAGGTTTTCGAACGATTTTGGCCCCCAAGAGCGCCCCAAGACGGCCCAAGATGGCCCCAAGACGGCCCCAGAGTCGCCCAAGACAGCCCAACAGAGCCCCAAGACGGCTCCAAGATGCGCCCAAGAGGGGGACCACGACTCCAAAATTCGACCCTCCCACTTGAAGAGTGCCCCAGGAGGCCCCAAGGAGCCCCCAAGAGGCCCCAGGAGGCCCCCACGAGGCACCCAGGAGGCCCAAACGAGGCCTAAAGAGGCCACAAAACAGCCCCGAGGAGGCCCCACAACGGTCCCAAAACGGCTACCGAGAAGCTGCGAAACTGCCTTCACGACGTCCCCGACAGGCCAACCACGAGATCCAAACCAACACCCATGAGGCCTCTGACCCACCACCCAGGGCACGGTGGCGGGAGCAGTGAAAGCACTTGTGCACAGCATGTTCCGGCGGGAGCCTTCCGGAACACGCTGCAGGAGGAGGAGGAAGATCAGGAGGAGAGAGAGCCGGAGTGGGAGGAGGAGGAGGAGGAGGGGGACGAGGAGGAGAAAGAGGCCTCCCAGTGGGTAGGCACTCGGTTTGGGTTAAGGGTTTGTTCCCGCCAAGGAGGGTGGGGGCAAAGTAACGGGAGCTCATTCCCTTAGATCGGACATCCATAATTTAAATTTAGTTTTTCAGGGGTCTACAGCTTGTAGTCGAAGGAATGAGGGGAATGCTCCATAGGGTTTCGGCATGCAGCTCGCTCTTCGAGCGAATGCATCGGCTCAATCTTCGCACTTCTCACATTATCGTCCTCCTGCCGCTCTTCGTCGGCGTCCTCATCCGCTGTCGCTACTCGTACACTGATTGCGAGAATGTCTCAGGCGGCACAACAGTTGGAACACCTTCATCCAAAGATTGTCTGGGGCCCCAACCTTGCGGGCGGCTGAATTACTTTACAGTGGGGGGAGGGCACAACAGCTAAAAACATCAGAAGACCAACAGCCTGAGTCTCTCACGCGTGGGACAGCTATATTTAGCATAGCAGGGCATAGCGTAGCAGCAGGGCAGGGTATCACTACAACATCTTGGGCACCAGCATCCTTATAAACACCTTTGCCACATACATCATGGCATTGTGACAACAAACATACATGCAACAAACACAGATACAAACATGTTTTCATCATTATCGCAACCACGCTCAAACATTTTGGTTCAAACCGTTTCGGCATTTTCCATAACACAAGAAAAATGCGCACTCGAAAAGGTGCTTCTTTCTCTTCCCACCATCGCAGATGGACGAGGTTGCTGGCGATGATGGCGCTGGCGGCGCAGACGCACATATCAGAGATATGCACGAAGACGTTCGAGACAATGCTCGGCTTCGTAGGAGACCAGGCCCCATTGAAGCTAAAGGGCCCCCGTCGTTGTTCTTCATCATGGGCAATCGGAGAGGTTTGTGGGCACGAGAGTTCCGCTCAGTGCCAGTTGCTCTTCACAACGACGGCCGAACATATCTGTTCGCAGTTGTTGTCGCGAGGTGGGAGATGATTCCGCCGAGTTGGGTTGGCGATAGAGACCAGCTCGACAGTATGGTGATCCAGGGGGCAATCCGAAACCATTGTGGTAAATATTCTGGATTTCTGGTATACAGGGCCATCGTGAGTGTAGACATTGGCGAGCCATTAGTATGTGATCTCATGTAGCCACGAGATATTCTAGACATGTTGGTTGGCCGTCGTTGCAGTCTTTGGAGAAATCGCGATGACAAACAAGATGGGGTTTGGGATGACATACGGGAACAAATGTTTCACGAATATGGACACGTGATGCTGGAAAAACCCGTTGTAGTGTGCATTGCGTTGGCAAGAAGTATTACAGAGTTGATGTCATCAATATTTCACTGTATTGTGATCGGTAGGCGTATGGCCCGAATCTCGCTAAGTACCCCAAGTAGGTTGTGCATGCAACGGTTTCGACGAGCGTACCCTGTGCAACAACATTATCAGCAGCGTCAGCGAGCTGTAAGAGAGTCTGTGAGTAAATATCGTGGCATGGGGGCCGAGTTGATTCTGAGATGGTTAGGAGCGACCTCCACGTTGAAATCATTACGCCATGCCCCTAAATCTGTTAAACACTGGTCAGCGCTGTTCGCTCAGAATGCTAACATAAATCGTGAAGACCTCACGCTAACATTGAAAATGATACGGTACGAGACGTTACGACGATCGAGAGTGAGGCTTGATTGGTTGTGTATGCTACTCACTCGAATGCTGTTGAACGATGCCGATTGGAGCAACATCGATGTATTCATTTATGTGGACTCCAGCCCCCAAGGACGAGGGTGGGAGATGCAAGCGGCATCGTTCAGGATCAAACGTCATGGCCAGGATCTTCTCATGTGCCCCTGTCCGCCAGTGCTGCTGATGCGCGCGCAACTCTCAGCGTTTCACAAGTGCGCGGCACTGCTCTGGCAGATCTTTCTGTGCTTTGGCGGGGCGCCACAAGCAATGCGGAACTTCCTGGGCAGGGTGAGGGGAATCATTTCGGACATGGGGACCGAGTATATGATTGCGCGGATTAACGACGCGCTGCCCGATTTCTTCTGTGCACTCGGGCATAAGCAACGAGTTCATCGGCAACGGTTTCTTTTCCCACAGGCTCTGGTGATACCGGGCTGGCGGCATAAGATAGATCTCTTGATTCGGCGTGGGTGTTGTTCGGTACCTTGGTTTCCTGAGTTCATCGCGAGGGCCAAGGCGATGATCTCTCTGTTTCGTGACGATGCCGTGTTTCGTAAATACATGCAAAGGCGTCGCCGCACACACCAACTGAATAGAAACATCGCAACACTCAAAGCAGAACACGCAACAACACATCGCAAACCATCAAAGCACACAAATGCCAGCACAGCGGGACACGGAGGGCAGAAGGACCGAGGTTGAGGGAAGCGCACGTGCAGTCTCTGGTGGGTGGATGGAGGACGGATGGCACATGTGAGAAATCGTGATAGCAGGTTCGAGGAGGCAGGAGGGACACG